CAGCACAGGTGCAGGCGGAGTGACAGTTGTAAACACAGCGCCTGTGTTTTCGCTGACCGCACAGTCACAAAGAGAGAAAGAGAAAGGTGGCGGGGAGGCACAGCACACCACTCACAAACCCCACAGACGCCGCAGTGGAGTGGTCCAGCAACACAAAGTGTCCTTCCCACTCACAGTGCANTCACTAAAATGTACACTAAGTCACACACCTACAGAGAGGAACAGAAAACACAAAAGCAGCAGAGGAGAAAGAACAACAACAACAGGATACCAACAGCACACAAAGCACTCACAGTACACCAATCACAGCTGCCACTCCCACCAGAGAAAAACATTCACCCACACCAGCACATCAACACACCCAAAAAAAAAGAGAAAAAAAAAAAAAACAGACCCATTACGTGAAGCCGAAGCGGACCAGTCTCAGTCCCTCCCCGCAGGCTGCAGTCACTCAAGCAAGCCACACACACACCACACACCACATGGGCAGTAATATCTCCGTGGCAATGCCGTGAGTGACACCACCGAGAGAGAAGGCGAGAAAAGAGAAATGTGTTTTCATTACGTGGGCGGTGTGAGTAGCAAGCTGAACACACACGCACACAGAAAAATACTCAAACACCTACAACCCACCAATCTTTATACCAAAATAAAAATGTAGAAAAGAGTGACTGTGTGAGGCAGACACAATAATGGAGCAAAAAAGAAAAAAATGAAATTAAGTTGTTAATGTGACTGCGATGCCTGGACACAGTCCAATTCACTTTAAGATCTCAAGAAGTACGCATTACATGGTAAAACTATAGTCTCCATACCTATATTATTAATATCGTCCCAGTATTTTTGTATATAACAAAGAAACATTCCACAAAAATGAGCACACAAGATACACAAGGTGTATCAGAAAAGCAAAGGAGAAACACACAGCTGCACACACAGTGCAATTTAATTATAATGAAAAACACACACGGGAAAAACAATAGATTGAAAACAAAACAAAAAAAAAAAGAAAGCCGTGATCACCATGTGAACATGTTCAGGAGGCAAGAACACAATTCCCAGCAGTAGGTGTGTGTGTGTCTTTCGTACAGGGCGAGCAGTGGGAATGATGCACACATGATGACAGTCCACACACACACACACAAAGTGAAGGAGGGTTGGTAGCGTGTGTGTTTGTGTGTCTTGAACCTCCTGCCATTCTTCACATTTCAGTCACAGTAATTACAATATATTATTGGGTTTGTATCCCATTCCCATGGGTGAATGCAATAGTTAGTAATATCACGGAACACACACATCACCAGGAGGACACAGTAAACGGCGGCAAAGCAGAACCCAGATAATGCGAACAAACAAAGAGGAAACTCCCCTCAGAAAATGATGGTTTGTCATGTGTTGAGTGTCATAGGAGTCCAATAGATTTGTTCAGCAAAAAATGCAAACAAGAGATTTATCGTGCTGGAAGAGAAAAAAGAAACATTAAAATTCAATAAAAAGAACAGTGCCCTTACAATGCACCCATATCCAGTCAAACAAAGGTTAACTGTGCAGTTGTGTCATGGGAACACCGATCAGCACACGAGAGTGCAGCCCAGCACCCACAGCAGAAGCAGCAGTAAGGAACCGTGCACCAGTGCAGGACTGCTGCTGTTGTCTTTGAGCTTATTAACATTCAAAGCGATGGAACTTGGAGAAAGAGAACCATATGATTCTTTATTCGAAGACTTAATTATGTCAGCAGCAGTTGAGGTAGTCAAGGTTGTCGTCTCACTCTGAGAATTCCTGCTTGTTTGCTTTTCGGTAATAAGATGTTGTCCGTTCTTATGATTAGCACTCGCAGTTTCGTTATCCGTACCCTCTTCACTCATAGTTCCTTTTTTTTGTGCGTGACCTCTAAGACTCTCACTGGTTTTTGTTTCTCCGTTGTTTTCATCTCTTTGTGTTTCTTCATCTGCAATCTTTGTCAATGATTTAGTTTGTTTATTGACGCTGATGTCGTGCATTTTGTCTACAAACTGTTGAGTTTTGGTTCCCTCTGTTAAATTGTTTTCCAACGGTGATTCCACTCTGCTTTCTGCGTCTTTTCTCGCAAGATTTGTTATTAATTCTTTTTGTGTTCTCTCGCTTGTTGCTGCTTTGTTGTCGTATTTGTACTTCGCTTCTTCATTTACTCTTTCCTGGTTTATTACTGAGGAATGCAAATTTGCCTCTTGACGATCTTTCTCAGTCTTTGGTGCAGATGCTACTTTGGCGTTGCCGTTTGATCTTAGCTTTTCAATTTTCTCCTTTAAAAGAAGTGCAGCTTTCGCTGCTTCTTCTGCCTTTTTTAAGGCAGTATCTGCTTCCCTCTGGGCTGATTGCTGCGCACTCCTTAAATCTTTCACAACTTTTTGAGCAGCTTTTGCCTTAGCGGTGCCGTCCTCGTATTTTTGCATACGACGTAAGAAAACATCTGGCACTACGGGAGTAATGAGGAACAACGATTGATAGTACTTCTCTGTCAAATCCGACAGGGCGTTTGACTTTTCAGTCAGTGTTGCAACTGCAGTGGTAGAATTATCCGTTGCTTTCTTTACATTTGTTACAGTCTCCCTACAAACATTTGTAGCAAGTTCCAACATCTGAAAAGTCTCCTCTGCTTTTATCACCTTATCATCAACGTTAATCACACCATCCTTGACTTTTTTCAGCAAGTCGTTAATCTCATTGGTGAATTCAATGACTCTACTTTCAGCGTCGGACACATTTTTTAAAGCTGCAGTACATTTAGAAGTGACTTTCTTAGTGGAATCCAAAGTTTTCTCGGCATCCTTTGTCAATCCATGAACACTTGAAATCAACTCATCTAATCTTGAGGTCAAATCATCACTACTCTCTACAGAAGTAACATTACTAGTATTTAGTGTTCCAGCCGCACGATCCGCATATGCCACACACACGCAGCACTGCAGAAGTACCAACAGGTACACCACGCGGCGCAGTTGGATGGACATCGTTGTCATGATTGTCACTGTGGGTTGCTTGGGTCTGTGGTAACAAGGAAGAAGAGAAAGAGGAAGAGACGCATATTTAACACACAAGGCAGACGGAGGGCACAGCAGCAAGAGAGAGNGTGTTTGTTTGTGTCTTGAACCTCCTGCCATTCTTCACATTTCAGTCACAGCAATTAAAACATATTATTGGGATTGTATCCCATTCCCATGGGTGAATGCAATAGTTGGTAATATCACGGAACACACACACATCACCAGGTAGGCACAATGAACAGCGGCACAGCAGTTCCCAGATAATAATGCGAACAAACAAAGAGGACACTCTCCTCATAAAATGATGGTTTGTCATGTGTTGAGTACCACAGTAGCCCAATAGATTTGTTCAGCAAAAAATGCAAACAAGAGATTTATCGTGCTGCAAGAGAAAAAAGGAAACACCAAAATCCAAATAAAAAGAACAGTGCCCTTACAATGCATCCATATCCACTCAAATAAAGGTTAACTCTGCAGTTCTGTCATGGGAACACCGATTAGCACACGAGAGCGCCGCCCAGCACACACAGCAGAAGCAGCAGTAAGGGACCGTGCACCAATGCAGGACTGCTGCTGCTGTCGTTTGACCCTAGAGCATCCAAAGGGATGGAACCGGTGGAAAGAGAACCGTATGACATTTTTTGTGATCTTATCTGCTCATTGGCCGTTGAGGCAGTAGGTATTTGATTTAGTTTCTGAGTATTCGTTTTTGTCTCTTGATTCTCTAAGCTTTCTTTGTTGCTGTTGTTCTCCGTTTTTACTTCTTTTCTATTAGTGTTTTTCTTGTTATTTTGTCTGACTTTCTCTCCCTGAACTAGTTGGCTTTTTGTAGTAAGGTACCTCGTGTTGTTTTCACCCATATTGGTTCTAGTTATCTTGGATTCGATATTTTTTACTTTTTCCTTAATGGAAGACTGCATTGGTGGCTCATTTTCCCCAGTCTCGCTTGCTCTATTCGTCACTTTATTCTCACCATTCTCAGAATGAATTGATTTGAGTTCTTCCTTTTCCCTCACTTGTTGCGCTCTTACTTTTGGTTGTTCTTGCTGGACATGTGGTATCAACTTAGTTTCCAGTTTATTGCTTATCGTTTTACGCATGGCGTTTTCACCTCCTTTTGTTTCTTCCTTCAACTGAAGTTCTTTTGAGGTCACTGGTTCCATACTTCTTTGTAGCTGTTCTTCTGCTAAAGCTTTCTTTCCTTCTGCCACTACTGACCTTAACGCGTTAACCACCGTATCCAGACGTTGCACCGCTTTTATTGCTTCCTCACTCTGATTATCTGCCTCAACTGCCACCTCTTTGGTTGCTTTGGCAACCGACTCTAAATTCATTGCAGTTTGTACTGCTGTTTCTGCAGTAGAATATCCCAATCTTATTCTCTCATAAGACGAGAAGAAACCTGGTGATGTAGGAGAACTGACGTCCAATGAATTCGAGTATTCATCCACCAGTTTCTGAAGTTCAGCAGCCTTCTCCCTCAGCTTTCGCGCCGCATCTATCGAGTCAGTTGCTACTTTATGAGTCTTCGCAGCTTCGCTCCTCGCCTTCGCAGCTGCTGATGTGGCAGCATGCGAAGGCTTCATAATAATATCGTCACTCACATTATTCACGTACTTAATTGCTTCAGTAACATTCTTTAAATATCCTTCAATCTCATTCAAGAAGTCAACGCACTCTTTCACAGAATCCGCAGCACCTTTCACGGCTGCCCTACATTCTTTCTGCGCATTTTTTGCCGCATTAACAGTTTGCGATGCTTCCTTTGATAACGCCAACACGTTTGCAGTTAAGATATCAACCTTTGAATCAGTAGAAACGTTCTTTGGCGACAAACCACCACTTACACTTGTCGCATTCGCCACACACACGCAGCACTGCAGAAGTACCAACAGGTACACCACGCGGCGCAGTTGGATGAACATCGTTGTCATGATTGTCACTGTGGGTTGCTTGGGTCTGTGGTAACAAGGAAGAAGAGAAAGAGGAAGAAACGCA